CTGGCTGAGGAAAAACAAAAATTATTTTTTCAATGATTTTTTTTTTTAAAGATCAGAATTGCTGATTTCAGAGGCCTTTTATTTTGAAATGGAGTTTCAAATCTGAATAACAGTCCCCTGATTGGATATCTGAAATTCCCTAGTGTCCCCAAGCCTCGGTCTGGTTTAGGGATAACTAAAATTCATTTTTCAAAGATTTTTTTAAAAATCGAGCGAAAAGGTCAACATGTCAGATTTGAGAGGCCTTCTATTTTGAAATGGAACATAAGATCTGAATGAAACTAGTCTGGTTGGATACCTGGGGTGCCTTAGTAACTTCTAGACCTGGTCTAGTTGAGGAATAACAAAAATTATCTTTTAAAAGATTTTTAAAAAATCGTGTGTAACGGTCAAAATTGCTGATTTACGGGGCATTTTATTTTTAAATGGAACATCAGATCTGAATGACAGTCCCGTGATTGGATACCTGGGGTGCCTTTGTGTCCCTGACACCTGTTCTGGTTGAGGGATAACTAAAATCAAAATTTCAAAGATTTTTTAAAAAATTGGGCGAAAAGGTCAACATGTCAGAATTCAGAGGCCTTTTATTTTGAAAGGGAACATTACATCTGAATCAGAGTAGTCTGGTTGCATACGTGGCGTGCCATAGTATGTCCAAGACCTAGTCTGGTTAAAGGTTATCTCAAATTATTCTTTTAATTATTTTTTGAAATCAGGCGAGAAGGTCAAAATGCCATATTTGAGAAGTATTTTATTTTGAAATGGAAAATCAGATCTGAATGACAGTACTGTGGTTGGATACCTGGGGTGCCCTTACTGTGTCAAAAACCTTGTGTGGTTGCGCGATAACTAAGATTAATTTTTTAATGTTTTTTTAAAATATCAGGTGAAATTGATGTAGAGGTACCATTGACTTTATTTTTTATCTCAACTTCACAATCACTTTGGTGGCTGGCTTGAATTCAATTTTGCGAGTGGTTTGCCGCAACATTTGCATAATTGTTCCTCCTTGTTACAGTCAGTTTTGGTGCCTCAGCATTTACTTTTTAATTTGGTGAGCAGCATATTAGTCACAAATATTGCACAAAAGCATGGACTAGTTTTTCAGCATCAGCCAAATGAAGATTTCCAATGATCTTATTGAATAATATAAATAGAAAAAAAACTGTGAACTTGACAAGTAGTGGTAATGACTTATGTTAAAATAACAACAACAAACTAGCTATCGAGAGACGTGTTTGTGTGCGTGGGGTGTGAAAGGATTCTTGTTCAAATCAGAAAAGATGAAAAGGATAAAAACAAATCATAAAATGGAGAATCTGGGATATTTAAGAGGCGCCTTCCAGTCAATGACTGTTACATTTATGACAGATTATGAAGGGGTCAATCAAATCCCTGCTCTTTTTTAGTTAATCACACTGAATTTCTAATTACCAGTCACTTTGAGCTCCGCGCTTGTGTTTGCGTGTGTTTTTCTGAATGTTGAAACTGTTATTGACAGGTGGCGTGGGATTGAGGAGCCTAACTGCACTGGCATCTCCTCATTCGCCTAAAATAAATTTATGGCATTGTTTGGAATACAGTGTGCATTAATGTGTGTGTGTGTGTGTGTGTGTGTGTGTGTGTTTGTGTGTGTGTGTGTGCGCGCGCGCGTGTGTGCGTACAAGTACGTTTGTGCGTGTGTGTGAGCATGTTCTTCCAGAGTGTTAAGAATGCAAAATGAAGCCCACCAAAACAATAGCTCTGCCCACCCAAGTGAAAATGTGACATTCATCTCGTTCACTTCCTGTGTCATATCAAGCCTGCATGGTGGAGCACAGTCCCTTCTGGGATTCTGATCTACGGGAACCATTCAGTTCCAGTGTCAAACTGTGGCCATCTGAATGCTTTCATGAGTGTGCAAATAGTGATAGAAGTAACATGTGGCCTTTGTTAGGACGATTCACACGCTAACAGTAGTACAGTCAGTGGCGTTCCGTCAGGGCCAGCAAGGCCTTCTCTGCTGGCCTAAACAAATAACAAATTTAATTTGTTATTTTATTTTCATAAATATGTAAACAAAATTATTCTCTGTATTCTTTACGTCATATTATTTCCACTTAGTCGAGTGGCTTTCAATGTTATTTTAAATAACATTGAAAGACACTCGATAAATAACTTATTTATTATGGTAAAGTTTTTTAACCAATCATATTTCAGCTAGCTTGTTGCCAGGTAAATTAAACTTGCTCGGGGCCTTCAGATTAAACAGAGCAAGGCCCCTGTGCGCTGTAAGTGAACGGGCAGTCAGGTTGCAATAGCCAATCAGATCACTAGTCTCAGACTCGTCTGCGTACTAGGGCCAGCTAGAAGGGTTTACGTCGAGACTGGCCGTGCGCGTTCGGTGATTAGATTAGCGCCTGCGAGAGCTATCACTGCATTTTAACCCAAAATGGCCAAAGGAGAAGACGTTGATCTGGTTGCAGAACTACTTTCCACACAATTTTCAAGACGGGTCTTCCACGAAAAGCTGGATATTGTGCGAAGAGGTCACCCAACTCCTGCGCTAGCTAGCCTGTCCCAGCAAGGAAAAGGGGTTGTCCGTCATTTTCAGACGAGCAATTATGAACG